GGCCGCAGCAGCAGCCGCCGCCGTCGCAGCCGCTGCCGCCGCCTCGACGACCATCGACGCCACCGCCACTACTAGTACCACAAGCACCTCCTGTAATAACGGCACCACGGCTCTGGGCTCTCCCACACTTTCCTACCCACTCAACTTGAACTTGATACAGCATCATGGGGGTGGCGGTGCTAATGGAAGTGGTTCTGCCACTTCCGGTCTTATGACACACCAACAATCCCATCATCACCATCACCATCACCAGCAGCTCCATCACCACCCCCATCAGCATCAGCATCATCAGCAGCAGCAGCAGCAGCAGCAGCAGCACCATCATCACCAGCAGCAGCAGCAGCAGCAACAGCATCATCTTCACCAACAACAGCAACAGTCTCAGCACCATCACCAGGCTCAGAACTCTTATACGGTTACCCAGAATCCTGGTACACCGGGAAATGCACAGACACCATCACCCTCGTCCCCGTCACCTGTACATAGTATGTAGGCTCATGAGCCTTAAAGTCCTCCCCCCACCCTCACCCCCCCCCTTCCCGTAGACCCTAACTCCAAAGTCCGTGTCGCCGGAAGCGCTTTGATCACCGAGGACATTGGATACCACCTCTCTAACTTACTACCGATCTTATGTGTAAATATTATACATAGTGCGCGAGAGATGATATTATATTTAATGCGATATAATATTGTATAAAATTCACAGAGGACACACACCCACGCACATACACGGCTGTACCATACACCAATATCAGGCACTCGCGTCCCCTAAATTATCCTCTAGAATCCACGGGGCCACATCTGACTGCCGTACCTGAGCTGTCGGCAAACCTCGGGATTAGTATTGCGATTTCCTTGTACGTAATAATTGCACAGGGATTCAATTTCGAGCCCATCTTATCGCGAATCTGATAATCCTCCGTGAAGATGTACGTAGTCGCGGGGTGTGTATTAAGATGAAACTAATGCAGGGAGGATTGTAAGTAGTAAGAAAATGCTTAGATCGAAATAAAAAAAGGCCCATGACACTCGAGAACAAAAAGGTCATCACCGAAGAAGTAGCGGTGAGGTCCCCCTTCCCATATCATGCCCGGTTTTCCCCCTTTTAACAGCTAGTATCTTACTACTGCTATTATTGCGAATAATTATTAATGAGATATTTACTTATTACGAACAATTAATTAATTATTAATTATTATTATAGTATTATTATAAATATTATGAATTCAGTTTAAAGAGAGATCCTGAGGAAAAATAAACGATGCTTTTGTGAGTAAACGTGCCAATTTCACTCTTATACGTCTGCACGCTCGTCACTATATTTTCCTTCTCGAATTTTATCCCTTCTTTCACCTAATCCCTTAAAACATTCTTTTTTCTTTCGTTTCCCAGTAAAAAGCACTTACAGGTCGCCCTTCCTCTCTTCCACGTTCTCCCACGATTTGACTTCCTTAAGAAAAAAAAAAATTCAGCGCATACCCAACCAAGAGTATATATGTATATTCGCAAGGGTAATAAAGGCAAAAAGCCAGGGGTCGGTACCAATGCGGCAGCAATATCGTACGGGCCGTTAGGTTCCGGATTCTCCGAGCCATGAAATGTCCCGTCATAACATCAACCCCCGTTTTTCTACCACTACAACCATCAGCCACCAGCAGTAACTGCCAACCAGGAGCAGTAAGCAGTACAACCCCAAAGAGGAGAACTCACCCCATCATCCTCATATCCCACATCCACGAAGAAGTCTTCACAGGCTGCCTTATTGAGAATTCTAGTCAAAAGTACCGATAAATAAGTATATAAGATGGCCGCTATGTTATATGTCAAAGTTATTATAAAACCAACTGTATCGCTGCGATTTATTACCAGTGTCTAATCAACTGTTTGTATTAGCATGGCCGTGCACGTTTCGTTACAAACTGATTACTTTAATTTGCCTTGGAGGATGAATTCGGTGGGACAAATATAATTTTAATACGGCGTCTGCCAAGTCATCCTCGACTCAGTGGGCTGACTTTGAGGTTCACCAGGACTCACCAAGATAATCGAGTGCTCCGCATTATTAGCGGGAATGACTCGGCTCGTCATCGTCCCTTTTTATCCCCCCGACATTCGATAACCCATGGCCTTGCTACAGCCAACGCGCCACCTTTCATATACCTAGCTGTTGGTACATGCCCACCTTCCACGAGGTGCATCACTGCGTGTACGTAACACACAGAGAACTACTGACAGCAGGACCTGCGTTGTGCCTTCTACGGGAATAAATAATTTCCCAGAATTGCCCTGGCACCGTAAAGCGGATCAATATGGCTGAGATTACGAAATAAGATCGTTATGCAAAGCAACGGTCTTTTGGGGATGGCACTGGGACGGGATAGGACGGGGTGATTCGCAGGGGTCGTCCCCAAGAGTCGAGCCAATTCGTGGGGGGTGCGGTTAATGTCAGGACTCTCGATCCCGCATACGGTAGTAGAACCGTTCCAGGCTGGCTTCTCGGTGATTTAACCAAGGAGGGTGAAACGTTTGTTATTCAATTTGCAACCCCCAAGCCACCGTACCAGCCACTGTTCGCAAATGCTCACCCTCTACATTTGCCTGTCGGCGATTTCGACTACCCTTAACATTCTCGCCCCATAAGCCGGGACTAACTCACCGTACTTATCTCCTTCGCGAGAGCATCTTTCCAGTTGTTTATTATATCCAATTGATATTATCTCATTTAAATCAAGCACAATGATTTTATTGGTCCATTGGGATGCTGTGGCTAGATTTTTCTTTAACATCTTTCTCATTTTTCAGGAGCATGATATATGTATATCTCACAAGCTGTGTGTCACTGAATATAATTATTTTAAATTGATGTTTTAATTTTGAAATTCATTTTCTAACTTTTATCCGTCTAAAAGAAAAGTTTATCATTTTCGAAATACTGGGTCATCGCTCGTGAGATTCTCAAGGATCTTCTCATAGATTCTCTTGGTTTTCAATCTTGGCAGAGTGGCAGGTCTGGTCGCGAGACCTATCGCCATGACAAAAGGCCCTAACAAGCCGGTAGGCATATGGTTAGCAGCACCCACACGTCCTATTCGTAACATGCGTAGGCGTATACGTTCCTATAACACATATGTGTATATCGAAGAGTGACGTGAACATACATGGAACGCGGCACGCGTCCAGTTACCAAAGCGCCGCCCTCTAGAGAAGGACCTCCACGAGTAACCACGGCGGCTCCTTCAGAGGTTACACTGGGGCCTGTTCAGGATAGGGCCTCATGACTCCTCCAGACCAACTGCCTATATTAAGGCAGCTTCTGCTAAGAGAGGACTCGAGTGCGCACTCGAGTCGAGAGTTTCTAGAATGAGAAACTCGCGTAAATTATCCTCGAATTAGCCACGCCGTCTATGGAGAGAGCCTTTAGAAAGAAATTTATAAATTTTTGCCAATCGCATACCGAGGAACGACGGCTTGTTAAAATAATTATAATATATATCGTAATTAAAAGAGATATAAAAGTGAATTAATTAGTTGGAAAATTTTATTTTTTTTACCCTAGCAATTATTGTATACTAACCCCACTTTCCGGTGTCACATAAGCATGTATAAAATTGCCATAAGGGTCAAACAACACCGTTCGGACACTGGTCATATCCCTACGTAACGTGACACTATGATCCCATTACTGACGATTCGCGTTAATTGCTCGTTGTTAAAGGTCATCAAAGTATCTGGTTGGTCGATACGAGACTCGGAGAGGGTGTCACCGGTGTCCTCAATGACGCCAGCGCATATTTCACCGTCGGCCAATCGACTTTAGCCACAATAACTTCGTTATCAGAATTTACCCTAATTGAGTTCTGTCTCGGACTGGCTTACCCAGTAGGATCGTTAAGCGCGCCGCCGATTGTTAATAATTGAACTGCATTAATTAGAATGACCCCAGTAAAGGGTTGTTGACAATATATCGTAAGTCAATAAAAAAAAAACGGTGCGCGCACTGACAAAGGTTCAAATTTTAATTTAATACCAGTTATCTGTCCTCTAAGACTTCAACAAAGTGTTATAACCTATAATGAAGAAACATCAAAGGAGACTATTTATTATACCAATTATTAGACAAAATGAGCAAAGAAGTTCACATTAAAAAATACATCGGTACAAGACCAAACAGTGACAAATCACGTCGGTAGACTCCAGGATTAATTTTAACCAGTTTTGACGTACCCAGCCCGAGTCCCACGACGTGTTAACGTCCCCACGTCATATTTCGGCGTAGTACCGACGCCTGTCGCAAGACGTCGATTTATCGTCGACGTTCCCGCACGCAAACATCTTTAAAGGAAAACTTACTCAGACATTCAACCAAAGACCCCAGACCCGCACAATCCATCAGCCACATAATATCTCCCAACGATGACTCGTAAAAGTCAATTCGATTGAACGTCAAGGATGACGTTGACGAAATCGCTTCGCGTATAATAAAGAGTAAAGGAGAATCTATATAAAGTAAAGGGGGATATAAAAAAATATATAAAAAAAAATAAAATAAAGACAAAGACCCTAAAGAAACTATCGGCGAATACAAACCCGAATCTCCCCTTATCTCACGACCCCGAAAAACTCAAACGACAAACTGCGCATGCGCACGTACGATCGACCGATAATTTTACGGAACATTGACTAGGAATTCTGAGAATGTATGGAAATTAGTCCAGGATCTCTTTCGAGTTCCTTTGGTTAATTGATACGTCTAAACACTACGACTTAGCGAGAATAACGTATCGCGCCTGAGAAATCATTCTCACGTGTCATCAGCGCTCTTTCTTCGTATGGTCTGTTCTAGTGCTCTTGCATATGTGGCAATGGATATATATATATGTACACAACCGTTACTGTACATCTGTCACGTGGTGTGTCTCGTGTGATTTAGCGGCTCTGCTTCCTGGCGATCTAGTTAACACCAACGTTCCCTTTAACCACGGGCCATCGCAACATGACTAATACCTTCTTGCACGTATTTTTATCCAGATTCTTTAGAATGCTCACCCGGTATATACTAAAACTACGCTATATACTAAAGTGCTAACGTGACAAATAAAAACCCTTTGACAATCTCATGTCATCTACGTCATTCATTTTCTTTAAGGATAACCATGTGAAAATATTTTAAAGTCATAAGGTTATGTATATAGTATATGTATACATGTATGGGTAAATATTATTTATCGATTTTGTCACATTTTAAAAATTGACACAAGGCTTTTGATTGGTGAGACAGTAGGAATTTGTTTGATTCGAAGAATTTGGGTGAATACAAATAATGTAGGAGGTCGTTAAAAAATAATTGGGGTGTCGGTTAAAATTGACTTTAAAAAAAAAAATTTTCTATGTCTTTTATTAATGCAGAGTTATTGCATTATTCAGAGTAACAAAGTAGCTTCTCGAAAATCTTCAGAGAATACCCAGGCTGATTTAACTGGACGCGAAGAAGAAGTTTAATTGAATGGAATAACAAGGTACGAGGCGATAATAAAGACGTCACTTTTGAATCGTACTAATTATATTGCTTGATGAAATATTTCGTTCCTGGAACCTTCCTCGTATCCTTCCTCATCCGAAAGTAATAATAAAATTAAGACGGCGTCTATCGACTTTTTGCTTTTAAATCAAGTATCAATAAAATTTCAAAAATCCTGCCAATAACGATACAAGATTTTTTTACGATAAAATCAAAAATATTTTAAGTATCAAATCCACGGATTCATCGATTTCTAGATATGGACCACAAGGAGGATGAAAGTATCACGTGAATATATCAAGTATCCTACTGGTGCGCGAACACGCGTGTAATGTAGCTAGTTAAGGGTTGACACGCTGTGGATGATCCGATGTCACGGTGAAATCCGATAGTACCAGGATGATGGGATGCTGCGTTGTATTAAAAAAAATTTTTTTAACCAGAGTGGTTGAAAAATCCCGAGACACCTCAGCCTGTACGCCGTATATAACACAGCGTCGAAAGAGTTCCTGTCGAGCTAATAATCCACTCCTCTTCCACCTCCTCTTCTACTTCCTCTTCTGCTCTCAGCATCTCCCGTTTCCTCTCCTTTCATCCTATGGACCAAACGAGCGCAGTGTAGGCATCTCAAACCAGGCATTACGCACATTACGCATTCTCCGCGTCGTCCCGTGATCCTCTAAGCACGTGTCTGGCGTCGAATGTCACAGAGGGCCAATCCGCCCG